CACTGCAGACCACGTCCTTCCCTACACTGCAGACCACGTCCTTCCCTACACTGCAGACCACGTCCTTCCCTACACTGCAGACCACGTCCTTCCCTTTGCTTTTCCTGGCTGTAGCAGTTTCCATACTTGCTTTGCTCCTTTGTTTCTAAGGGATGCAGGCATTGAATAGGCTGAGCCCAGGCGTCCTCTATTTAAGGCCAACAGAGCCTGAGGAGTCCGCCAGCTGTCCACAGAGCACAGTCAAACCCTGGCATCCAGGTGGAGGGACTTCTCCCAGGTGGGCAGCCTCCCCAGGGCACAGGTCAATGACGTCTCTCTGCTGGACCCTGAAGAGTATTCCAGGAACAGTAATGGACGTTTGCCACCAGTCCTGTGTTCTAAATGTCTTGACAGTGTTGGCCACTGGGACAGCTGGCTTCCCAAGCCCTGAGGAGCCCTGTGTCTGCTGCCCAGGTGGAGGCCCAAACAATGACCAGCAGCCCCAGCATTCCTCACGGTGGTTCTCAGCAGGGCTCTCTCATCCAGCCCTGGCCTGACCTCTCCGTGTGTGACAGCTGAGTGGTCCTCACTCGGCCGACGGCTAGGAGCTTAACCTCTGACAAAGGCAGATCAAATCCACCATGCTCCAAGCGCCACACATGCTGCCCCCGCCTCCTGAGTCCACGCCTGCCCACTGTGCTCTGCCCTTCACTGGCCACCATGGCCTACGCTGGGGCTGAGGGTGCCGTAGGGCCTCCCTAGGGTCCCAGCTGCTCCCCCACCCCTCCCACATCCAAAAGCACTTCTGGCAATGTGACCTCCTCCTCGGTGCACCTGCCACTCTGTCCACCACCGGGGCAGCCTGGCAGCTGCCCCTCACCCCTCTCCAGCCTCACACCAAGCGGGCTGTCCCCCTTCTCCAACGCACATGTGACTCATGGCTAGGTCCCTGGGAGGACTCTAGCTCTGCGTGTTCTGCCTGGAGCTCTGAGGTGCCTCGGGGGCCTCCATGGGTCTGCCCCCTGCTCCACACTGCCCCTGCTCTCTTGCCCACCCCTGTCTGCTCTCAGTTCTGCACCGTGYGAGCTTCTGTTTCAGTTTTCTGAGCCTCATATGTTGTTCCTTTTGCTCACGTTTCTTTGCAGACTGTCTCCTTGGCCTTGGTGGAAGGGTTTCTTTTCTCCAGGTGCCACTGACGTGTCCTGGCAAGTTCATCTCCAGAGCCACCTCTCCTTGGAGAGCCTGCTGGCCCCTGACCACCTGCTCCTCTTCCAGGACACAGTCCCTTGGCGTGTTTTATCAGAGTGCTTCTTGCCCTGGGTCCACTCCCTCCGATTATTGTATGGGCGGTATCGGGGTCCCCTGGTGAACGGGATCCCATGCCGGGGAGTCACCCAGATGAGTGGCACGGATGGCTCAGACCACAGGAGCATCTGGCCCTCCCCAGGTCCAGGACTGGGCCCAGCTAGGCCTGCAGGCCTCCTTGGCAGCACCCTCAGGAGGGACCTCCGAATCTCATGCTGGAGCCAGGGCACGTTTGCCTCTCCCTCTCCTCCCTAAATTTTTGTAGCACATATTGAATTTCTAGAAAGAAAAGAAAAACTGGGTTTGAGGTCGAATAGAAAAAGTTTCCCCCTTCTCAAGGGAAGATTGAGAGCCCACTCTGTGAGGGTCTTCCCCAAGTTGGGCCGATTTCAGCCTCGGTGGTGACAGCTGACCGCAGTCTCTGGGTGCTGGGTAGACTGAGCCCGTGACTCCAGACAATKCGGTCTCCTCAGCAGCACCAACGGCCCACGGCCCATCATCCCCAGTGGGCTCCTCCCACCCATGAACTACACAAACCCACACACAGGTGGAGCTCTCCCAGTGTGATGTCTGCATATTTAACCTGAATTTGTATYTGCTGATAAAGTGTGCATCATGCAGTTTTAATTGTACTTCCCACGTGGTCCGATGTCTGGTCCGATGCCTGATGAAGTGAATGTGCATTGCCAACTGCATGACGTGCATGCCCGACAAGTGTCTCGTAACCATCCCATGAGTTCTCAGTTCTCCATGCCATTCGGATCTGGGTCATGAGGAGCTGGGAGGCTCAGACTGGGCGTTAGCGGCAGCTGGACAGGCGCCCGCTGTGCCCCTTGAGGTGCCATTTCATCCAAGGCTCGGGCTTGTGTGTGCACGGTGCCCACGCACCCGGCACACAGCTGATGGCGGTCATGCTCACCTGGCGCCCTCCACCAGGTGCTCTTTGCTCTGATCTTCAGAGACAGTAACACAAATCTTCTCTTTCTCTCTCTCTCTCTCGATTTTTTATCAGTGTGTATGGTTGTCCCTTGGCTAAAAAAAGGAAAACACAAGACAAACAGCCTCAGGAACCTGCTCCCAAGCGGAAACCATTTGCGGTGAAAGCCGACAGCTCCTCCGTGGACGAATGCTACGAAAGTGATGGGACAGAGGACATGGACGAGAAGGAGGAGGACGATGACGATGAGGATGAGGAGGACGAGGAGGAAGACGAGGAGTTTTCTGAGGACAATGACGAGCAAGGAGACGAGGACGAGGAGGACGAGGAGGTGGACCGGGAGGAAGAAGAGGATATCGAGGAAGAGGAGGACGATGAGGATGATGACGAAGACGGAGAGGATGTGGAGGAGGAAGAGGAGGAGGAGGAAGAGGAGGAGGAGGAGGAGGAGGAGGAGGAGGAGGAAGAGGAGGAGGAGGAGGAGGAGGAGGAGGAGGAGGAAGAGGAGGAAAATGGTAATCTTTAAAACACTGGCAAAGGGCCAGGCTCTGGTTTGGGTCAGCTTCTCAGTGTGCATGTTCTGGTGTTAATATCCGGGAAGCTTCCTGTGAAAAGTCGGCTTGCTCGATACCCGACAAGGAGCCGTCTGTGTGAATTCGCACCTAGGCTCTGAGGTCGTTCAGGTGGTGGTTCAGATGGATTGTCACAGCAGTTTGCTGAGATGTTTATGCTGTGCGTATCTGATCAACCAGGCAAAATTTAGCAAGAAAACTAATTTAGCATACCTGGTCTTTAATTTCACATTTTCTTTCATGGATTATCAAGAAGGGCTATTCCTGTCCCGTACTGTGCTACTGGAAGGGCCTGGGCCCTAGAGGACCCCAGGGAGGGGATCCAACCATCAGGGTAACTTGGCCACGTTTGACCACCGTGTTTCTGGTCTGAGGCCTGCAGTGGTGTGAAGCGTGGCAGACAGTGTGGGCAGGCCCCAGGTGTCCTGCAACACACAGGACGGCTCTCGTTTCATGTCTAGCTTTCTGTTAGAAAAAGACTCAAACAGGTGACTTTGAAACAAAACATTTTCTAAAGGTCATTTTCATTCTAGAAAGATTGGGCACTCTCTCAAGGACCCAGGGTCACCATCAGCTTAGGGTTTGCCTCCTGCAAAGAAGGGAGCTCTTCTTTCTCAGCCTATCCCTGGGCCCAAGGCTCTTCAAGAACCTGGGCTCCAGCAGAGCTTCCGAGCACCTAGACACAAGCAGCCATCAGGGAGAAGCCCCAGGTGGCCAGGTGGCCAGAGTGGCTAGTCCCCACTAGAGTCCTGGTGGGCAGATCAGGAAGCCTGCATTTTATGGAATATTTCTCAACTGTTGGCTTAATCACATTTACATGTATAAGCAAACGTGTACAGACGTGCACAGACGTAAATTGCATGTGTTTAAATGTGTTCCCCCAAGGTTCTTCTTGATGTTTAGAGGCTCTGTGAAGACCCACCAAGGCACGGGGCACCTGTGCTGTTGGCTGACTGCTTAATCTGCCAAGTGTAGAGTGGCATCCCTGGTGAGATGCCAAGAACCAAACCCTCAGCTCTGTGTGAAAAGTCACACAGCTTTCCCCTGGGAGTCAGCCGCAGCTCTGTGCTGACATCGAGAGCTGGGGAGGGGCGCCGTCAGCTCACGCTGCTGGGGCACCGAGTGCTGGGTGTTGTCACCAGTTGTCTAGATGAGGGGAAGACTTGTGCCTGGGCCGGGGCCTGCGTTGAGATGGAATCAAACACTGCTTTTCCCTTCCCGTCCTGCTGGGAAGGCCGTGGACCTAGTGCTCACCGTCGCGAGGGTTTGTGCACAGTGGTCTGAAACTTGTGTCAGCTAACTAGGGTCTTAGCCACATGTAGGTCCTTCTCCACTTTCTAAACTCGAGCTTTCCACCTTAGTTTGTTTAGGGTCCTATTTTATGTAGTCTGTCTGCAGAAGTCCAGGTGACTGGCTTTGGAAACGCATTGGGAAGCTGGTGGAATCGCCTTCTGCGGCTGCATGGGGTTAGTTCCAAGGCCGTCGCCTAGAATAGGTTTGGTTTGAAACCAGACGACAAATCAAAATGAAAGGGTTTTTTCCAGACAGAAAAACATTGGTTGTGACACACAGATGCKCGATCCTATGTCACACAGTCACACAGTTAGGAAGTCAGCCCAGTCACCTGACCACACCTGGACCCCACGCAGGCACCTGGAACATGCTGGTGGGTGCACATGGGAACGCAGGTGGCAGGGCAAAACCAGGAGGAGGGGGGCCGCTGGTGGCCACACACGCACACAACACTGGTGCTGGTGCTCGAACTCAGGGCCGCACCGCGCCTGGCCAGTCACCTGTGATCATTAGCAGAACCAACAGGCTGCTCAGGAAGGGTGGCCAGGTGAGCTGGGGTGAGACAGACCATCTGGTCTGAGGGGAGGCAAAGGTCCCTCAGTTGACGTTCTCGGCAGGAAGGGGTGATAATTCCCTACCTTTCAGACAGCCCTCATGCGTCCCCAGGCCCCAGGAGCCAGCAGAGTCGACTCTAGTGGCCCCCGTGGGGACCCTCCAGTGCGTCTTTGACTGCTGCAGGTTCTCTGGAAGACACACCACAGCCTTTTGTTCTCTAAGCCACACAACAGCTCCCCCCTGGGAGTGAGCCACCACGGCAGCTGGCTCCTGGAGACCCCACTGGAGCAGCCCCGGGAGCAGGTGTGCCAGGTCTTCGCTCAGCCACTGCTGCTGGGACTCTGGTGTCCCAGTGGGCTACACTCCAGGTGCTCACGACCCAGCAAGGCCAAGCAGCTCCAGAAAGATTGTCAACCAAAGGGACAGTGGAGCTGGGTCCACCTGGCAGTCACTTCTCACAGCCAAACTCCTAGTTGTGTCTGATTGATTAGCATAAGCCCAGCACCTCCTGTCCTCACCCCCACTCACTGAGCACAGCGTAGTCATCTTATGTAGAGCTGTGCCYACGTCCCTGTCGGCAGAGGCAGTCCCGTGCCATTGTCAGGGCACCTTCTACAGGAGAAGCACAGAGTGCGTGCAGCGTGCCCGACGGTGCTCAGGAGAGACACCTCTCCTGCTGCAGCACCTCAGGTGCTCTTCCTGCTCCTTGGTGGCCAGGAGCTCCCTCCTGCCCCGGGCTAGCAGCAGACTCCTCAGGGCTGCTGCACCTTGGCCCTGCGGTGGTGGTGCAGACCATGACCCCCAGGTGACAGGAAAACAGAACGCAGCAGGACAGTGCCAAGCATGACTCAGGCGTCCACAGGGGAGACCAGGGCAGTGGGGTGGCACAGGAACGAAGCCTGAGCCGGCATCAGCCTCAGGAGCAGGTGTGGAGTGCCAGGTGTCTGTGCTKCGAGGCTGCTGATGTTTGCTCCTCAGGGACACGTGTCTACCTGGACTGTGAATGGAGATGTGGAGCCTCTGAGAGGTGGTGATTTAGATAAAACAAGTTTCTATGAGTCACCCTGTGAGTGTGATAGGAGCCCACGGGTTCTAGGGGAATGCCATTCAGGACTTAGAGATTAAGTGCTTGCTTTAATTCCCAGGACCCTCCAGCACTTGGTCACACATGGACCAAAATCATACAGTGACACGCATTTCCTGTGAGTGCGCTTGGGTGCAGGCTGTGCGTGACCTTCACATCAAGGCAGGGCACGTGGCCAGTGAAGCCTCTGGCTGTGCTCGTGAGAAGCTGAGGCTCATAGAGATCAGGGCTGCAAATGCTGGCTATACAGTCAGGCTGGGCTGTGGGCTGTGGGTCCTGGAGAGCTCAGGCCATTCCAACTCTTTCTGCAAAGAGTAGCTGAGCGACTCGTAATTAATCCAAGTCAGTCATTGTAAACCTGAGCTACAGAAACTGGTCTTTGCATGAAGAATTTTATTTTCAAAATACACAGTCATGGTCAACTTTACATTGATTAATTTCTTTATTCTACAGGTAGATAGGTGATTGGTTGGTGGTGGAGGCAGTTCTATTAGCAGATGAGGTGTCTGTGATGACAAATGTGATTCGGGGTTTCTGTTGAGGAAGAGATTAAACGGCCATCAGGGCCCAGTGAGTGATGTGCATGTGATGCTCCAGTCCCCCCAGAACAGTCACTACACAAAGACCTGGATGCACATGTGCAGGTACCAGCCTCCCTGTGCAGACACCTTGCCTCTCCAGGGGCAGGAGTGAGATCTGCAAGGAGGGGCTCGGCCTTCCAGACCAGCCCCCACAGACGGCTCCTCCCCTGTGCCGCTGCCAGGCTTTGTGAGGTCCCTTCTCCTGTTCCCTGAGGAGTCTCGGGCCCGCCCTGGACAGGCGCACTTGGGACAGGCCCCCATGGCGAGGATGCCCGACGGCATCCGGCTTGCCTTCTGCAGTCCCTGTATGGAGGCCAGGATGCGCCATGGCAGCCTTGCGCGTGTGCCCCAGGGGAGAGGGGTTAGAGGAAGCTGAGCCCTGGTGACAACTGCTCCACGGTGCTCTGTGATTACAGAGGCCAGGCAAAGCCACAGCCCCAGCAGAGCCAACGCAGTGCGGTCGCAGCAGAGGGGCTGCTTTAGTCAGGGGAGAGCACTGGACTCTCCTGCAGCCTGCTGAGGGGCTGGCGATCAGCTCCCACAAACTGATTTTGGATGTGTCCATGGGGCCTCACCATGACAGTCCTGTGTCTGATTCGGTCTTCCTCTGTGTAGCTCCCTGTCTCTGAGGGAAAGCCAGACAAATGGCCCTGTGAATTCCTCCCACAGACATGGTGTCTGATGGTACCACTTCCTGGGGCTGGCCTCCTTTCAAGCCACGCACTGCGCTGGGCCGCAGCTTGCTGAAGCACCCTGACAGTCGGTGATGGACAGGCTCGAGTGCGTGAGGGGAAGACGGAGCCCCGTGCCGAGCCAGTGGCCTGTATCTGGCCCTGAATCCCCAGCTTCCCTTCAGGATGCTGCTCTCCATGTTGATTAGCCAATTATCCTCTCATGTCTTTCTCAGGGAAATGTCCCTGATGAGGGAAGCGAGTTGAAATGCAGACAGGCTGTGAAAATCAGAATCAGCCAACCGCATTTCTCCTGCAGTCAGCAGAAAAGGGAAGAGTTCTGAGATCCACGCAGAACAAAGAGGACATGTTTAGTATGCACGGCTTCAGCGTGAGGACACGGTGGGCCCCTGGGAGCAGGAATGCAGTGATGCTTCATCCTCTTAAAGACTGGCCTTCCCTACATCCAGGGTGGGTGTCGGGACGTCTGGGAGGCAGGCAGGTTGGTGTACGGGGCCCCGAGGCTTCAGAGCAAGTCTTCCTACAGCCAGACCTTGCTAGGGATCAGTCCGTGGTAAAACCGGGCCTAAATATAAAGCATGATCATACCTGATATTTCCCAAATGTTCAGGTACTTTGAAACAAACCAGGAAACGTGATAAAGATGTAAGTCATGCATGTTTAAATGCAAGTGGCATGCACAGTGTGCTGGGGACCCCCCTCTCCCTTGATGAGAGGAGAACTTGGGGAAGCAGGGAG